CTTTAAAAAAACAACTGTTCCTCCTTTCAGTGAGTGTTCTAGGGACAGTTGAGCGCAGGGGAGATCTAAGTTCACTTCAGACATTTGGGCCTCGTTCAGTAGGCAAACGTTGTGGAACATTGCAGCTAGAAATGTCAAGAGGCATGTTTGTTCTACATAACATATTTCTATCTGAACGTTCCACAATGTTGTGCCCTTCTGAACGCGCCCCAGGTTTGGTCGAGGCATCGGTCTTGCCTTCAGTCGTTTGATGCGGTGAGTCTCATTGTACAGAAGCAGGGGACGCTGTACCTACAGTGCCCTCCGTAATTATTGGGACAATTAAGCATTTTCTTCTTATTTTGGCGCTATACTCAAAAGGTTTGTATTTGAAATCAAACAATGACTATGAGGTTAAAGTGCAGACCTTCAGCTTTAATTTGAAGGGTTTCTCATCCATTCCGGGTTAACCGTTTAGAAATTACAGCACTTTTTGTACATAGTCCCCTAATTTTAGGGGACAAAAAGTATTCGGACAAATTCACTTATGTATAGTAAAAAGTGTTTGGTTCCATATTCATAGCACGCAATGACTACATCAAGCTTGTAACAAAGAAAATGTAAGACGCATTTGCTGTTTGTTTTTGTTTGCGTTTCAGATTATTTTGTGCCCAATAGAAATTAATGGTAAATAATGTCATTTTGTAGTCACTTTAATTGTAAATTTGAATATAATATGTAGAGCCAAAAGAATTACAAATGCTTCACTGTCCCAATAATTACAGTGGGGACTGTATAAGAAACTATTTCCACCCAAACATTCAAATTAGATGAACAATCAAGGGCTGTGGGGAAGAGTCTAGGAAGGAAAGAAAAATGTTATTTTATTTTTGTTGGATTTGTTTTAAAGTATTGTTTTTCCTTTCGCCTTGCTGAGGAGAGGATCCCATTTTTAACAGTTGGGGATTAAGAGTGCGTCCCAACTGGCACCATATTCCTAATATAGTGCACTACTTTTATATGGGCCATAGTCAAAAGTAGTGCACTATATTATGAATATGGTGCCAGTTGGGATGTAGAGGATATGAGCGGCACTGATTGGTCGACAGAGTCAGACAGGTGTGCTCCGATTGGAGAGCCACGGAACTGAAGCATATCCAACCGAGGAGAGAGACAGTCCGATCTCACTCCCTGCTGCTGAACGCACACACACACTTTCTGGTCCTCTGCTGCTCTTAGTGTTTGCTATGTACAAACAATATTAATAAATCTTTTTTTAAGAAATGCTGTTTGAGATTAGTTTGTCATGTCCTAAGGCTAGATTAATCAAACGTAACATGGTAATGTTTACACAGGATCTTAAAATATACAGTGGGGGAAAAAAGTATTTAGTCAGCCACCAATTGTGCAAGTTCTCCCACTTAAAAAGATGAGAGAGGCCTGTCATTTTCATCATAGGTACACGTCAACTATGACAGACAAAATGAGGGAAAAAAATCCTGAAAATCACATTGTAGGATTTTTAATGAATGTATTTGCAAATTATGGTGGAAAATAAGTATTTGGTCAATAACAAAAGTTTCTCAATACTTTGTTATATACCCTTTGTTGGCAATGACACAGGTCAAACGTTTTCTGTAAGTCTTCACAAGGTTTTCACACACTGTTGCTGGTATTTTGGCCCATTCCTCCATGCAGATCTCCTCTAGAGCAGTGATGTTTTGGGGCTGTCGCTGGGCAACACGGACTTTCAACTCCCTCCAAAGATTTTCTATGGGGTTGAGATCTGGAGACTGGCTAGGCCACTCCAGGACCTTGAAATGCTTCTTACGAAGCCACTCCTTCGTTGCCCGGGCGGTGTGTTTGGGATCATTGTCATACTGAAAGACCCAGCCACGTTTCATCTTCAATGCCCTTGCTGATGGAAGGAGGTTTTCACTCAAAATCTCATGATACATGGCCCCATTCATTCTTTCCTTTACACGGATCAGTCGTCCTGGTCCCTTTGCAGAAAAACAGCCCCAAAGCATGATGTTTCCACCCCCATGCTTCACAGTAGGTATGGTGTTCTTTGGATGCAACTCAGCATTCTTTGTCCTCCAAACACGACGAGTTGAGTTTTTACCAAAAAGTTCTATTTTGGTTTCATCTGACCATAAGACATTCTCCCAATCCTCTTCTGGATCATCCAAATGCACTCTAGCAAACTTCAGACGGGCCTGGACATGTACTGGCTTAAGCAGGGGGACACGTCTGGCACTGCAGGATTTGAGTCCCTGGCGGCGTAGTGTGTTACTGATGGTAGGCTTTGTTACTTTGGTCCCAGCTCTCTGCAGGTCATTCACTAGGTCCCCCCGTGTGGTTCTGGGATTTTTGCTCACCGTTCTTGTGATCATTTTGACCCCAGAGATCGAGGGAGATTATCAGTGGTCTTGTATGTCTTCCATTTCCTAATAATTGCTCCCACAGTTGATTTCTTCAAACCAAGCTGCTTACCTATTGCAGATTCAGTCTTCCCAGCCTGGTGCAGGTCTACAATTTTGTTTCTGGTGTCCTTTGACAGCTCTTTGGTCTTGGCCATAGTGGAGTTTGGAGTGTGACTGTTTGAGGTTGTGGACAGGTATTTTATACTGATAACAAGTTCAAACAGGTGCCATTAATACAGGTAACGAGTGGAGGACAGAGGAGCCTCTTATAGAAGAAGTTACAGGTCTGTGAGAGCCAGAAATCTTGCTTGTTTGTAGGTGACCAAATACTTATTTTCCACCATAATTTGCAAATAAATTCATTAAAAATCCTACAATGTGATTTTCTGGATTTTTTTCTTCTCAATTTGTCTGTCATAGTTGACGTGTAACTATGATGAAAATTACAGGCCTCTCATCTTTTTAAGTGGGAGAACTTGCACAATTGGTGGCTGACTAATTACTTTTTTTCCCCACTGTAAGGGATTGCCTGCGTTTGTACTTACACACTGCAGAAACTAGAGCCAGCATCAACCTGTGAAGTGGGCCTATCTTTATTTTATTACAGAATCTCATGCGTGTAAATAAGTTATACATTTTGAATTGAGTCGATTCTCATCAAATCACAATTTATTAGTGCATTTAACAAATTCCCAACAGTGCATTTAACACGTCACAACACACTTTAGTCCTACATTTGTGTATGACAAGGACAAAGGCATGGATGCATTCGGAAAGTATTCAGACCCCTTGACTCCTTCCACATTTTGTTACGTTACAGCCTTATTCTAAAATTGATTTAAAAAATAATCCTCAATCGAAACACAATACCCCATAATGACAAAGCAAAAACAAGTTTAGAAATGTTTGCAAATGTATAAAAAATTAAAAACATACCTTATTTACATAAGGATTCAGACCCCTTGCTATGAGACTCGAAATTGAGCTCAGGTGCATTCTGTTTCCATTGATCATCCTTGATGTTTCTACAATTTGGAGTCCACCTGTGGTCAATTTAATTGATTGGACATGATTTGGAAAGGTACACGCCTGTCTATATAAGGTCCCACAGTTGACAGTGCATGTCGGAGCAAAAACCAAGCCGTGAGGTTAAAGGAATTGTCCGTAGAGCTCAGAGACAGGATTGTGTCGAGGCACAGATCTGGGGAAGGGTATCAAAACATTTCTGCAGCATTGAAGATCCCCAAGAACAAAGTGGCCTCCATCATTCTTAAATGGAAGAAGTTTGGAACCACCGAGCCTCTTCCCAGAGCTGGCCGCCCGGCCAAACTGAGAAATCGGGGGAGAAGGGCCTTGGTCAGGGAGGTGACCAAGAACCCGATGGTCACTGACAGAGCTCCAGAGTTCCTCTGTGGAGATGGGAGAACCTTTCAGAAAGACAACCATCTCTGCAGCATTCCACCAATCAGGCCTTTATGCTAGAGTGGCCAGACAGAAGCCACTCCTCAGTAAAAGGCACATGACAGCCCGCTTTGAGTTTGCCAAAAGGCACCTAAAGGACTCTCAGACCATGAGAAACAAGATTCTCTGGTCTGATGAAGCCAAGATTTAACTCTTTGGCCTGAATGCCAAGTGTCATGTCTGGAGGAAACCTGGCAGCATCATGCTGTGGGGATGTTTTTCAGCGGTAGGGACTGGGAGACTAGTCAGGATTGAGGGAAAGATGAACGGAGCAAAGTAAAGAGATCCTTGATGAAAACCTGCTCCAGAGCACTCAGGACCTCAGACTGGGGCTAAGGTTCACCTTCCAACAGGACAATGACACTAAGCACACAGCCAAGACAATGCAGGAGTGGCTTTGGGACAAGTCTCTGAATGTCCTTGAGTGGTCCAGCAAGAGTCTGGACTTGAACCGGATCGAACATCTCTGGCGAGACCTCAAAATAGCTGTGCAGCGACGCTCCCCATCCAACCTGACAGAGCTTGAGAGGATCTGCAGAGAAGAATGGGAGAAACTCCCCAAATACAGGTGTGCCAAGCTTGTAGCATCATACTCTAGGCTGTAATCGCTGCCAAAGGTTCTTCAACAAAGTACTGAGTAAAGTCTGAATACTTATGTAAATGTTATATTTCTGTTTTTTTCTTTCTTAATAAATATATATATATATATATATATATATATATATATAACCCTGTTTTTACTTTGTCATTATGGGGAATTGTGTGTAGATTGAGGGGGGAAAAAACAATTTAATCAATTTTAGAATAAGGCTTTAATGCAACAATGTGGAAAAAGTCAAGGGGTCTGAATACTTTCCAAAGACACTATCTGTGCTTTATGTAGGTGCAGTACATTCCCATGTATCGACAAGAGGAAGACTACCACATTAGACTGCCATTAGCAGAAAAGGTGTGCCTTCGAAAAGTCTGAAGCACCTGCCCAACTGTCTTGTCGTACTTGAGTTGACTGCAATGCTATCTCTGACCAGCAACCAATTCTTTCTTTGGAATGAGTTATCTGCTGGAGGTTAACTGCTGTAGTGATCAGGATGGTAATCTGAGTGATCCCTGGGAGCTGGCAAGGATCTTGAAGTTGTAAGGTCATCTCCTCAGTTGTTAAGTGGGACCCCATAGCTGGAGCTTCTCTTAATCTCAGTCTGTCCAATCATCCAGCGCACACCAACTGACACTGAGAATGGAATGGAGAGGAAAGAGATGAACATACTGTATGCTGAGGCTCTTATTATGAAGTCTGTGGTTACAGCATCCAGTGGAAATGTTTGACCAAGTTTCTCAACCGTATGATTTGTGCCAACAGGATTATGTAATTTATAAGGGATAAGGGCCAATACTATCATGTAAGAGATACCATCCAATGGCATTCCAGTCATGCGATGGCATGACAAGGCATGCAATATTATTCAGTACTTTCCAAGAGGAAGGAACAATAATTTCTTGCTGTTGATCAGTTTCATACTTGGATGCGACTTGGAAGAATAGATGGTAAACAATGGCTATGATTAAGGAGAATGTACCAACAAATAGACCTTTTAGAGTTATTAGTCACAAAGTTGTCCTGGTTGAAGGTGAGTTTTGGAACAAAATTCAAAAAAACAACAGAGGGCTTGCAGCTGACATACGACGCCTCCTGGCGGCCATGTTGGAAGACCACTGCATTAATTATTCTGACATCAGCAGAGTGGCTACCCAAAACGGCATAATAGTGCCTAAAACTAGTTGATTAATCACCACAGTCAGTTTCTGTAGAGTATTTGGCTGCTCTAACAAGGCAGGAAAGACAACGGGGGGAAAAAAAATATGTTTACAGATTTGCCGCAATCATGAAACACCATTGGTGACACCAATGAGATAAGACTCAAGAACTGTCAGAAAAGCGACGAAACCTTTTTGCCCATCAAGACCTGAACCCAGACAGCTGTCAGTACAGGGTCTGCTCTATCAAGACCTGAACCAGCTGTCAGTACAGGGTCTGCTCTAGCAAGACCTGAACCCAGACAGCTGTCAGTACAGGGTCTGCTCTATCAAGACCTGAACCAGCTGTCAGTACAGGGTCTGCTCTATCAAGACCTGAACCCAGACAGCTGTCAGTACAGGGTCTGCTCTATCAAGACCTGAACCCAGACAGCTGTCAGTACAGGGTCTGCTCTATCAAGACCTGAACCCAGACAACTGTCAGTACAGGGTCTGCTCTATCAAGACCTGAACCCAGACAGCTGTCAGTACAGGGTCTGCTCCGATAATTTCATCACTGGTAAATCAAGACTGATTTTCTTGTTTAGTTTAGCTGTTATGCTAACCAGGTGTTAACAACAACACTAAGTTAGACAATTAGCTAGCTAGATAGCTTGTAGTCTAGCAATTAGCATGTGTCACGTGAGTTTAACATTTTGGGGAAGCCATTTTTCACCATAAAAATGCACCTTTATAACAAAGGATTGCCTCTATCATCTCATAGCAGACTAATGAAAGCCTACTATTCCTGATGTGATGGATTGAGATCATTTAGGCTTAATAAGCGCATACGTTTATAGGCTATATCAGAGATGTTTCCTTTGCACGGTAAAAATGTGGCATTTGATAAACATTTCATGCAATTCTACTACACTATATATGATTGCCCTTACGAAAAAATAGCGAAAATATGCTGCAAATACTGCGTCCAAAATAACACTGCAGTAATTTTGCAGTGCAGTATAACTGCAGTTGAACACTGCAGTTATTCTGCAATTACTGCGTCCAAAATACCACAGTCGACTGGAGAAATTAGCAGAATATTTTTTTGCTACGATGGTAGCCTAGGCCTACTCTACCAACACTGACAACAGATCAATAAAAACGACCTTGTCTTGAATGCAACCATGTAATCTAGGCCAATGAAAAAGGGGTCCTGGCTAAAAGGGATCCAGCTTTTGTCAAATTGTCCAAAGTATTGTTTTTGAATTTTAACTAACCCTAACCATAACCGAATTCTCATAACCTGCTGCCTAAATTCTAATCTGCTACGAAATGTCAAATATGACATTAATTTGACAATAGCTGGGTCCCTTCTAGCCAGGACCATGAAAAGGGGAGACACAAATTGTACAATATGATGTCCATATAGCCAGTGATTATCATATGATAACCCAATGATAACATATTGAGAACTTTATTCACAAGAGGGTAAATGTACGGACATTACAGCATAGGACAAAGGACTCAATGTGATAGGACAACCTGACTATTGGTTATTCCAGCCCTCCAATTGATTTACATTTTAGTAATTTAGCAGACGCTCTTATCCAGAGCATCTTACAGTTAGTGAGTGCATACATTTTCATACTGGCCCCCCGTGGGAAACGAACCCACAACCCTGGCGTTGCAAGCGCCATGCTTTACCAACTGAGCTACAGGGGATTTAGTCTTTGAGACACTAAAACACCTGAATGAATTAAACACAACCAAACAATCAAGAGCCGTGATGGTATAGGTGACCTGAAGGAGTGATATTCTATCAGGTGCTTTTCATTTGTTTATGTACTGTAGGTTCACCAGCTGACCTCTGAAGACACCCATGTGGACTGGATTCCCACTGAAGATGAGCAATGCTGCAGCAGCATCAGCTTCTACTACTTTGTCCTTTTCCAGATATGAAAGGAGATATCCCTCAGTTATACAAGATGGTTGTTATATGCTGTGCTTTGGTCAATCTGAATGATTATGTTGTGCCATTTGAGTAGAGCACCTTCACCTTGTCGTCATGACAAAAGTGCCCCCTTAAACCATATTAATATATAAAATGTAATTTGTAACGTGTAAAATACTATTGTTTATGATATTATAAACATACTGTACTTTAATAGGCTATATTGTTGTATGAGTGAAATGAAAAGTATTGTGTAATCTCTGCTTTGACTAGCCCCATTGAATAAAAAGTATTTCTTATAGCCCAACTATTTTATTTCTTTACAATTTAAACACATTTAGCATAGACAATGTAATTGGTGTGGTAGTCTTAGGTAAACCATCTTCATTATCACAGAGCCACCTCCAAGTGCCAGTCAGACCTGGGAGAAAAGTATCTGGCATTGGACATGGTAGTAGTAGTTGTGAGTATGTTTTAAGCTAAGGATACCCTCTCCTGCTTCCAGACATTTCACCACCTAGATTACATGGGTTGGATTTGAACCAAAACATTTCATGTCAGCACAAGGCATGTACAAAATCTAGTATAATGATTAGCCTCATATACATTGTTTACTGGTATCGTTTTTAAATTGAGAACATATAGCTGAACAATATGTAAACAGCCCTAGTCGGCTCGGGGATTAGAACCAGCGACCTTTCGGTTACTGGCACAACGCTCTTAACCACTAAGCTACCTGCCGCCCCACATAAGGCTAATGCCATCATGCTGTAAGCCAGTGGTTCCCAACTCCGGTCCTCCAGTACCCCCAACAGTACAGTTTATTGTAGCCGTGGACAAACACACCTGATTCAACTTGTCAACTAATCATCTGGCCCTCTGAGTTGAATCAGGTATGTTTGTCCTGGGCTACAACAATGTGCTGTTGTGGGTACTGGAGGACTGGAGTTGGGAACCACTGCTGTAGGTCTACGGCTACATTGGCATTGCATACCATTATCAGCTGCAAAATGGGAACACATGGCTGATATCCTGAAAAAATAGTGACAATCAAATACAACTAATTGGAGAGCTTATGACTGAACAAAAAGGTCATGTTCATTTGAAAATACAACACAGGAACACATAAATTAAAGACCGATTCCCTTCCCCTCTTTATTGCAGGATTGTGATCTGTGATGAATCAACATTAACTATTATTCAAGATGAACTAGTGTTAAGTTAATTAAAACAAGTTTAATCACTTAGCTTACTTGTACACTTTGAAATTATATGAAAGTGTTGATTCTTTGAAGTTAACTCATATGTAAAGGTTAGACATTTTAGTAACAAGTAGGCTATTATTACTAAAACAATGTCAGGTGAACAAAAAAAAGTAAATACCAGAGGTGGCCAACCTCGCTCAACTGCACAGGATGTTGGTGGCACTTTCATTGGGGAGAACAGTCTTGTGGTAATGGCTGGAGCGGCATTAGTGGAATGGTATCAAATACACCAAACACATGGTTTCCATGTGTTTGATGCCATTCCATTCGCTCAGTTCCAACCATTATTATGAGCCGTCCTCCCCTCAGCAGCCTCCACTGATCCCTGATCTATGGGTGGAGCAGACTTCTGTTCCAGCCCAGTAATAGCACACTTGATTATTAACTAATTATGTTTGATTAATTTAAATCAGGTGTGTTAGTGCTGGGCTGGAACAGAAGCCTGCACAGCCAGCAGGGTTGGCCTGCTCCATTTGTAATAGGTTTATACATTGTGTGACTTTTAAACTGTACTTTTGTTCACACAATGTGCTAACATACGGTAAGTACACTCCATGGCATACAAGGATGTACCCTTGCTCTCTTGGGACATTCATTGGGACCTCTTCATCTGCAGACAGGGTTTCACAGCTCTCTGTAGCTGAGGACAGAAAACATCAAAGAAACAGGCTGCATTATACTCAAGTTAGACACCCCTGAATATTATGTTGCTATATATATATATATATATATATATCTTTCCTCAGTTTTTCTCACTAGGGACTAGGGAATAGTTTCATAATATCCTCCCACAAAGGTACCTGCCCTATCCAGAGTAGCCTACTCTCCCTTCTCTGACAGCTGGAAGTGCTAGCTAATCCTTTCAGCTAGCTAGCTACCTAGCTACAAATGCATTTGGAGTTACAACGATAAATACATCAAGATAGCTAACTAGTTAATATGAAGTTAGCAAGCTGGTGATATTTAATTCACATAGCTTGCTACACAGTATGTAAAGTTCGCTAACTAGTGAACAATTTGTTAGCAGCTCATTTGAGTTAGCCTGCACACTAAGTTTCTGTAGCAAGCTAGCTAGCTAATAATAATACATAGTTTTTTATCACTTTCAAAATATATTTACTTACTTGAATAGGTTCTCCCACTGCCTCCATTTTTTGGGTCCTTAGAAAAACGAAATAACGGGCAATCTTCCCGAAGTTTCTGGTGGTAGCAAAACGCAGCCAGCCATGTGGATGATTGGAGGTCTTCCAACATGGCGCTTGGTGAGGTTGCTAGGTGATTTGTGACACAACTGCAAGCCCTCTATAGTGTACTTGAATAACCTTGGCAGGCCACATTAGGTCGTCTCGAGGGCCGGATTTGGCTCGGGGGCCACTAGTTGATGACCCCTGAAATATATACCAATAAGACCCACCTGCAGAGCAGAAGGCCACAGTGGCCAATATGGTGAGAATAGACCCATAGTTGACCAGCTGGACCAGGAGGAGGCAGAGGGGGTATAGGAGAAGGCAGGTCCAGCCTAGCCAGTTGATCAGGGCCCAGGGCCCACGTGGTGGGGTGATTACAGGGCCTGGGAAACACCCTGTCTGGCTGTAGTCCTCCTGGAACTGGTCCTAGAACCACAATACATGCGCACATCAGTTACCTGTAAAAACAGGAGCATAGTCCAATAGCTTCACAGCCATGACCACAAGAAAGTCGGAAGGGAGGGGTCAAAGTCCTTAAAGCTATTTTTTTGTATGTCTGATATAGTATGTCTATATCATATCATTTTTTTTGTGGATCTCTTTTTAACGCAGTGCAATTTAGTACTATCTAATCTAATGGGCCAAGGGTAGATTTCACAGATTGTGCAAGTGAACAAAGTTATAATGTGAAGAGTAGGTGGGTCGTAATTTGGTCCATCTAATCTAATGGGCCAAGGGTAGATTTTACAGATTGTGCAAGTGAACAAATGTATAATGTGAAGAGTAGGTGGGTCGTAATTTGGTCCATTTGTAAAACATATTATTTAACAATTTTAAGAGCACATGTTCAAATTCATAAAAAACACGTTTCCCATCTCAAGAGGTTTATATACAAAAATTAATATTGTGTCTATTAAGTGCCAAATAAAGTAACAGGGTTGACCGTAACATGGTTGACGATTTCTTCTTAAATCAGCCATAAATCCCCTTGTGACAGGGGGAATGGAAGCTTGTTGTGTGCAACAGGGAGTGGCAATTGAATGAAATGAATTGTTAAAACATTTCTAGCCCGTCTATCTATGGGTAACAGGGTTGACGTGTTATGCTCAACCCGCTCAGTTTTCCACCACAAAACACCAGACAATGGCCAAAAAGAGTAGAATCAGCTTATCTGCTTTTACACTATGATTTGACTATTAGATGTTCAATTTTTCTTTAGAATTTTTGTTTAAAAAAAAATTAAGGAATGGTTTCACCATATTAAAGCGAGAATTCAGTTCACTTAACAGGGTTGACCTTAAAATGAAGGACAGATGTAAATGCTGAATTTTGGCACTTTAGCAAGCCTTTTTTAATATTAAAAATCATATTTACTGAATTTGCCATGTGGTCTATATTAAAGGGCACTTCATTTAATTGAACATGCTTTTTAAAATTCAATATTGGTGCACAATTTCCACTTAAAATATCAAAGGGAGCATAGTCCAAAAAGGCACTCTTTTCATGGAACAACACAGTTTTTACATAATATAAAGTGTAAATGAAGCGAGTTTGAGCTTTTAGCTTTGTCCTTGGCACTTACTGCACTCCAAAGAGCTGGCTGTTCAAAAAAGAAAGCTCTCCTTAAAGTACTATCTAATCTAATCCATGTAGTCTGGGCATCCTTAAAGATGCATGACACTATAATAATAAAATAAATAACAATAAACTAACAGGGGCCAAAGTGCCATTTTATCTGAAAGTGTTTGGTGCAATGTTTGTGAATTAAACATTGGGGACAGAACAAAGTTATAATGTAAGGTGAAGAGTAGGTATTGACATTAAACTAGTTTAAATGAAGAGAGTTATAGCTTTTAGCTTTGTCGGTTTAGTCCATAGTGAACAAATAGATACAAACTCTGCACCTTGTGCAAATGCTTAGTTAGTAAATCTGGTCCATAGTGTGATCCCACTCCCCAATTATAACACTACCTTCTCCTGGTAGAGTTTGTGCAGCCAGACAGAACATTCAGCCTCATCTTCTGGTACGGATTCCAGAGGGATTCTCCTAGAGACAGGGAGGCAGAAGGGGAAAGCATTTCTTTCAGCTGTCCAATTCAATTCCATAGAACTTTATGGTCCAGTAAAATACACTGAACAAAAATATAAACGCAACATGTAAAGTGAGCTGAAATAAAAGATCCCAGAAATGTTCCATACGCACAAAAAACGTGTTTCTCTAAAATGTTATGCACACATTTGTTTACATCCCTGTTAGTGAACATTTCTCCTTTGCCGAGATAATCCATCCACCTGACATGTGTGGCATATCAATAAGCTGATTAAACAGCATGATTATTACACAGGTGCACCTTGTGCTGGGGACAATAAAAGGCCACTCTAAAATTTGCAGTTTTGTCACACAACACAATTCCACAGATGTCTTAAGTTGAGGGAGAGTGCAATTGGCATGCTGACTGCAGGAATTTCCACCAGAGCTGTTGCCAGAGAATGTAATGTTTATTTCTCTACCATAAGCAGCCTCCAACGTAGTTTTAGAGAATTTGGCAGTATGTCCAACCGGTCTCACAACCGCAGACCACATGTATGGCGTTGTGTGGGCGAGCGGTTTGCTGATGTCAACATTGTGAACAGAGTGCCCCATGGTGGCAGTGGGGTTATGGTATAGACAGGCATAAGCTATGGACAACGAACACAATTACATTTTATCGATGGCAATTTGAATGCACAGAGATACCGTGACGAGATCCTGAGGCCCATTGTCGTGCCATTAATCTGGCGCCATCACCTCATGTTTCAGCATGATAATGCACGGCCCCATGTCGCAAGGATCTGTGCACAATTCCTGGAAGCTGAAAATGTCCCAGTTCTTCCATGGCCTGCATACTCACCAGACATGTCACCTATTGAGCATGTTTGGGATGCTCTGGATCTACATGTATGACAGCGTATTCCAGTTCCCGCCAATATCCAGCAACTTCGCACAGCCATTGAAGAGGAGTGGGAAAACATTCCACAAACAACAGCCTGATAAACTCTACACGAAGGAGATGTGTCGGGCTGCATGATGAAAATGGAGGTCACACCAGACAGATACTGACTGGTTTTCTGATCCATTTTTTAAGGTATCTGTGAAAAACAGATGCATATGTGTTCCCAGTCATGTGAAATCCATAGATTAGGGCCTAATGAATTTATTTCAATTGACTTAATTCCTTATATGAACTGTACCTCAGTAAAATCTTTGAAATTGTTGCGTTTATATTTTTGTTCAGTATAAGTCCAATAAGCCAATACAGTGGGGGAAAAAAGTATTTAGTCAGCCACCAATTGTGCAAGTTCTCCCACTTAAAAAGATGAGAGAGGCCTGTAATTTGCATCATAGGTACACGTCAACTATGACAGACAAATTGAGAATAAAAAAATCCAGAAAATCACATTGTAGGATTTTTAATGAATTTATTTGCAAATTATGGGTGGAAAATAAGTATTTGGTCACCTACAAACAAGCAAGATTTCTGGCTCTCACAGACCTGTAACTTCTTCTTTAAGAGGCTCCTCTGTCCTCCACTCGTTACCTGTATTAATGGCACCTGTTTGAACTTGTTATCAGTATAAAAGACACCTGTCCACAACCTCAAACAGTCACACTCCAAACTCCACTATGGCCAAGACCAAAGAGCTGTCAAAGGACACCAGAAACAAAATTGTAGACCTGCACCAGGCTGGGAAGACTGAATCTGCAATAGGTAAGCAGCTTGGTTTGAAGAAAGCAACTGTGGGAGCAATTATTAGGAAATGGAAGACATACAAGACCACTGATAATCTCCCTCGATCTGGGGCTCCACGCAAGATCTCACCCTGTGGGGTCAAAATGATCACAAGAACGGTGAGCAAAAATCCCAGAACCACACGGGGGGACCTAGTGAATGACCTGCAGAGAGCTGGGACCAAAGTAACAAAGCCTACCATCAGTAACACACTACGCCGCCAGGGACTCAAATCCTGCAGTGCAAGACGTGTCCCCCTGCTTAAGCCAGTACATGTCCAGGCCCGTCTGAAGTTTGCTAGAGTGCATTTGGATGATCCAGAAGAGGATTGGGAGAATGTCATATGGTCAGATGAAACCAAAATATAACTTTTTGGTAAAAACTCAACTCGTCGTGTTTGGAGGACAAAGAATGCGGAGTTGCATCCAAAGAACACCATACCTACTGTGAAGCATGGGGGTGGAAACATCATGCTTTGGGGCTGTTTTTCTGCAAAGGGACCAGGACGACTGATCCGTGTAAAGGAAAGAATGAAAGGGGCCATGTATCGTGAGATTTTGAGTGAAAACCTCCTTCCATCAGCAAGGGCATTGAAGATGAAACGTGGCTGGGTCTTTCAGCATGAAAATGATCCCAAACACACTGCCTGGGCAACGAAGGAGTGGCTTCGTAAGAAGCATTTCAAGGTCCTGGAGTGGCCTAGCCAGTCTCCAGATCTCAACCCCATAGAAAATCTTTGGAGGGAGTTGAAAGTCCGTGTTGCCCAGCGACAGCCCCAAAACATCACTGCTCTAGAGGAGATCTGCATGGAGGAATGGGCCAAAATACCAGCAACAGTGTGTGAAAACCTTGTGAAGACTTACAGAAAACGTTTGACCTGTGTCATTGCCAACAAAGGGTATATAACAAAGTATTGAGAAACTTTTGTTATTGACCAAATACTTATTTTCCACCATAATTTGCAAATAAATTCATTAAAAACCCTACAATGTGATTTTCTGGATTTTTTTCCCTCATTTTGTCTGTCATAGTTGACGTGTACCTATGATGAAAATTACAGGCCTCTCTCATCTTTTTAAGTGGGAGAACTTGCACAATTGGTGGCTGACTAAATAAATTTTTTCCCCACTGTATATGGACCTTGAGATCAGTGAGTTTAGCCTCTAACCAATGGCCATCCCATGCAGGCTGAAATTAATTATTATTATATACCTTATGTATAAATCTGGATGATATTTTTTCCCATTGATAACTCCCAGCAAGGTTGGAGTTTCGTTGTTTCTGAAATTTAGTGTACAACAGTACACTGCAGCAACTGAAGGGGTTACAGAGACAAAAACATGAAGTTGTCAAAAGTTCAATGGCATCAGTCTTCATCCAAAATATCCTAAATAATACGTAGATATACACTCATAAGTCATGACATGTGTAGCATTTGGTCATTCTGGAGCTCCCCAGGGTTCCGTACCTGTCCCTCTGAGGTTCTGGACGGCTACCCAGAAGCCCTTGGTCCTGGGCAGGAGGTGGTGTTTGAGTTTAGGCAGACCTTTCTTCTCTGCCACCTCCATACTGATCCGATGCTTCTCCTCTGTGAAGCGTGTTCCCTCACAGTGGAGCAGGAACTGGCACACAGTTAGAGATTCACTGTAGGGTCATTGCTGTGTTTTGATTGACCAACCAACCTGCATACTCATGTTTACAAGGTGAGTATCATTATATTCTCACGTTATCCTTCTTAGACTTGTGACATAATATTGATTACATCAATCGAGACAATATCAATACAATCTTATAGATGAACAACCATACTTCATACGCATGTTTACATAGTTGCAAAGAAAGTTTGGAATAAGGAGTTTAAAAAGACCTGTCACGTCCTTTCATGAACTATACATGCACAGTCAACTTTTGACTATTAAGTGTCATTACTGATTGATTGAACTTAATTGATTGTGTTCGAGGCTCACCCAGAATTTCTTGGGGTAATCCCGTAGGTTCTGAAGACTCTGGACAAAGCTCCTCTCATCCTCCTCCCACTTCCTCTTAATAAACACCATCTCCAGGAAGTACCACATCCAGCCAATCACAGGCAGGTATGACAACTCTTTCTTGGCTAAACATTTGGAGGCCTGGAAAGGGAAAGATTGTTAATGTGTTTGACTACAGAAGGCATCAAACAACTACTGAAAATCTTAGTCTCTTCTCAGTCTTTCTGCAATTCCTTGCTTCCCACCTTCCTCGTCTCCTTCTCAACGGTATTGGAGGAGAAATTCCAAGGTCCCTCCCCTTGGAATTTCTCCTCCAATGCGTTTTGAGAACGAGGCGATGAGAGAGGATGAGAGGAATTGATATCCCTGTTCTCTTACCCCAAGGACACCGAATCTGTCACAGAAGGTCCAGCCACACAGAAAGTCTATTTCAAAGTTGTGGTTAAGGACGACGATGGCGTTCTCTTTGCCGTAGAGTTGGCAGTTCTCTGGGTCTGTGTAGAATGTTACTTCAGTGCCAGACCACCACTCTAGGAGAGCCACAGACTCTGGGGAACATAACATATCATTAAAATATCATTAACATAACATAGCACTAACACAACATAGCATAACCTAGCCTAACAGAGTGTAAATAACAGACCACTGTGTCAGCAGCTACAGTAACTTTACATTTCAGTTATTGCACGACATTAGAGAGCGTATAGCCCTACAGCATCAGTTAAGTCAAACAATAGCGAAAGAGAGCGATATTCAGTTTGTATTCCTGGCTTAAAGAAGGCCAATAGTCCTGCTGCTGTAGAGTATGTTACAGTAGACTAGATCCTACTCACGGCTGGTGATGGAGTATCCCAGTTTACAGTTGATCCGCCGGGCCAGCTGCTTGTTGATTGGCCAGAGGGGCAGAGTGCAGATCTGTAATAGGTTGACCAGGAGACCGCTGACCAAGAACCCATAGCAGATGATCAGGTGACACAAGAACGTGCCCTTCAACCACTGTACCAGACCCATCTACAGGGGAGGAAATGAGAGGAAAGGAAATGAGCGGAGAGGAGTTTATTAGATATAATAAAGATATAGTTGATGCTCAGCAGGTGTCATAGGAACCACTGCACCAGCCCCATCTTTCCATTGGAAGCTAGACTCCAAACCCTGTATGAAAAGAACAGAAATGTCTAGTGCTTAAAAATCTGACCTCACCTTCCCTTCTTCTGCACTGATTGGAAAATGACTTGACAGGTGAAAATAAACTCATAATTCAGCTGGTCAGTTCTTTCAGTTCAGAGGAGAGGACAGATCTTTGAGACAGCCAGACATTTGAGTCATTTAGCAGACGCTCTTATCCAGAGCCACTTACAAGAGCAATTAGGATTAAGCACAAACAGATTTTATACCTTTTTATTTTATTTTTATTTCACCTTTATTTAACCAGGTAAGCCAGTTGAGAACAGGTTCTCATTTACAACTGCGACCTGGCCAAGATAAAGCATAGTAGTGCAATAAAAAAAACACAACAACACAGAGTTACATATGGGGTAAAAAAACATAAAGTCAGAAATACAACAGAAAATATATATACAGTGTGTGCAAATGTAGCAAGTTATGGAGGTAAGGCAGTAAATAGGCTATAGTGCAGAATAATTACAATAGTATTAACACTGGAATGCTAGATGTGCAAGAGATTATGTGCAAATAGAGATACTGGGGTGCAAAAGAGCAAAATAAATAACAATATAGGGATGAGGTAGTTGGGTGGGCTAATTTCAGATGGGCTGTGTACAGGTGCAGTGATCGGTAAGGTGCTCTGACAACTGATGCTTAAAGTTATTGAGGGAGATAAGAGTCTCCAGCTTCAGAGATTTTTGCAATTCGTTCCAGTCATTGGCAGCAGAGAACTGGAAGGAATGGCGGCCAAAGGAGGTGTTGGCTTTGGGAATGACCAGTGAGATATACCTGCTGGAGCGCAGACTACGGGTGGGTGCTGCTATGGTGACCAATGAGCTAAGATAAGGCGGGGATTTGCCTAGCAGTGATTTATAGATGGCCTGGAGCCAGTGGGTTTGACGACGAACATGTAGTGAGGACCAGCCAACAAGAGCGTACAGGTCACAGTGGTGGTGGGTAGTGTATGGGGCTTTGGAGACAAAACGGATGGCACTGTGATAGACTACATCCAATTTGCTGAGTAGAGTGTTGGAGGCTATTTTGTAAATGACATCGCCGAAGTCAAGGATCGGTAGGATAGTCAGTTTTACGAGGGCATGTTTGGCAGCATGAGTGAAGGAGGCTTTGTTGCGAAATAGGAAGCCGATTCTAGATTTAACTTTGGATTGGAGATTCTTTATGTGAGTCTGGAAGTTGAGTTTACAGTCTAACCAGACATCTAGTTGGCTCGGGGATTTGAACCAGTGACCTTTTGGTTACTGGCCCAACGCTCTTAACCACTAGGCTACCTGCCACCTCAGACAGATCCAATCTCGTACAAACATCGAATATCCTGTCCTGAACAACATAAAATAGCCAAGTCTCAAGGACGGATAAGCATCAATGAGATAACTTCCAGTTGTCAGTACAGGTCACCCTTGCCCGATAAACAACCGGTATCACCTGAAGCATGCACAAAACCATGTAAACATGCACGAGCTGGGCTACTATGCATCGCCTGCATGTATTTACATCGTGTGTGCATGCTTCAGGAGGCAGGAATATGAACGCACTACCAAAGTTTTGAAAAGTCTGATTAATAATACTTTCCTATAGATATTTTGTCTCAAATTTCCCAAGGGTATAAGGACCAACCACCCAGACAACCAGTTGGTTCCCCAACTGCCGGACCAAATTTGCCTCACGGGTGGTTTTATTTGCCCCCCCAAGTTCTGAGCCAAAAAATTATTATATTTTCTGTGTGGAATTGTCATTGTTGGACATAAAAGACTGTAAAAAAAAAACACCAGGAAATCAGCTCCAAGTGATTTTAAATGTAAGCAAGGTTTGAAATTATTATATTTTAGTCAAACATATCTGCTTGGGCTTTTGCGGTCAATTTGCAGTCTACAAATGATTTGTAATTTTGCCCCCCGACCAACCGCTCAAGAAAAAAAATCATCCCGCGGCTGAATGTAGTTGATGATCCCTGTGGTAGAGTAAGTTCAAATATTATTTTATTCAACATTATGTCCAGGAGAGGTCCTGAAAGGGCCCTTTCAAAATAGTTGAACTGCAATATATATTACAGACGTGAATTGCGAAAGCTAAACCAGATGATTTATCGGGCAAAGTTCACCCCCACCCTCGCTCAGGAACAGAGGGAACTACCCTCATGACTCATCTCTCTCTCCTGACCGAGGCTGACCTCCTGCCGACCGAGGCTGACAAAGTGAAGCACTCACTGCCCTCCAAAGAGCTGGCTGTTCAAAAAAAGAAAGCTCTTCTTTATTTATTTTTCTTCTCTCTCTCCCTCCGTCTGTCCGTCCGTCCAGGTTGTATATTAGTCATGGAGGTTTACTAAGTAAAGACTACTGATCTAAAAGGAGCCGTGTAGGCCTCCCACCACGATCCATAAAGGTCAACTACATACTCATACTAGAATCAGGATAGAAACTGTCTTGGTTCCAATAGTCTTGTTTGATACATTTACATTTACATTTTTAGTCATTTAGCAGACGCTCTTATCCAGAGCGACTTACAGTTAGTGAATACATTATTTTTTTTTATACTGGCCCCCCGTGGGAATCGAACCCGCAACCCTGGCGTTGCAAACGCCATGCTCTATCAACTGAGCTACATCCCTGCCGGCCATTCCCTCCCCTACCCTGGACGACGCTGGGCCAATTGTGCGCCGCCCATGAGTCTCCCGGTCGCGGCCGGCTGCTACAGAGCCTGGATTCGAACCAGGATCTCTAGTGGCACAGTTAGCACTGCGATGCAGTGCCTTAGACCACTGCGCCACTCAGGAACTTCTTGTTCATGTAGAATGATTACAAGCACTCACTGCAGACAACAGAAGTGTGAAACCTGTTCAGTGCATAAGAACTGTGAATAGGAATATGAGTATTCCCATAGAAAGGTAACAATTCCCTTACAACCAAATAACAGCATTACCGCAAAAATGGAAGAGGAAAGTGGAAGGGGGAAAAAGTAAGGAACTTGTCTGTCGGCCTTGCATTAAAGAACATAATTGGTTAAAGAAAACTGTGATAAATAAAAAAGTATACATTTAAGGACCAAAGGATTGACAGCCGTCCCATATAGATTGCAAAATAGTTGGGAAGATATTTTTGACGTACCGATCCCATGGCATAGTGTTAATGAACTGATACGCAAAACGACGCCGGATTCAAAACTTAGACTTTTTCAATTTAAATTATTATATACAATTCTTGCTACCAATATAATGTTATTTATATGGGGGATACAATCTTCCCAGCTCTGCAGATTTTGCTGCGAAGAGACAGAATCATTAGATCATTTGTTTTGGTACTGTCCATTTGTAGCTTGTTTTTGGACACAGGTCCAGGAATGGCTAAAGGATTGCAATATTTACCTGGAGCTAACCCTGCAGATAGCACTACTGGGTGATCTGAAAAGTCATAGTCAATTGATCAATAATATAATAATACTTTTAGATAAAAAAAATATTTTCAATTTACAATCTGTAGAAACAATGAGAATAGAAAGGTTCAGAACTTTTGTAAAACATCACAGTTGAAAAATATATGGCAAATAGAAATCCAATATGGATGGTGTTAAGAGATAGATGGGTGGTGTTGAATGGAGCTGATGGATGGGACTAATAACAACTAATAACAACTAATAACAACAAGATAACTAATAATGTAAGCGTACTGTGTCCATAATAAGTATATAGGTTTAAGTTGAGAGCTTTTGTGAAATAGCACAGTTAGAAAGATATGGCATATAGAAGCAAACCGGATGGACATCATGAAAATGATCGGAGAGGTTGAGGGTAGAGGAAGTTCAGGAGTAAAAACAAACAAAATAGAATTATTGTAAAATTGACTGTGTCCATAAAATGTATATAGTATGTATAAGCTGGAAGTAGAGGCCTAAGCATTGTTGTTTACTCCAATTAGGGAATGGGTTGTGGGGTTGGAAAGTAATAAAGGGAAATATATATTTTTAAAGGATATGTATATGTATGTAATATATATATATATATTTGCGAGAAAAAAAAACATGGGGGATTGGAAGTGATGCAGACAATTACATTGATGGAAGTTGCAATCTATCTGCAATATTAAAGCTGATCTACCCCCTAAAAAAATTAAAAATAAAAATACAATTCCCTGTACAATATATGGTAGCATTGGAAATAGTTGATAGTCCACAGAACTGACTCTGTTCCACCTGCTACCTGCTCAACAGAGCACGTCTCTAAGCAGACAACTGTTTTTGCACCTACACATGGCCTTACTGCTATCTGATGATTATACAGCATTGATGACACACCCTGCTAGGTTACACTCTGGGAACTACTACAGTACATACCAATAGCAGACTGGCCAGGCTGGCCCTACCACACCACACCACACCACAATGCAATACAATCTACTATGGAGGAATTTACCTCAGGGGAGTGGTGGTGGACATTAGCATATCAAACCTCACCTATTGTGGAAGCATCAGGAAGGGAAATAGTTGTGAACAATACAAGTCTACAATTCAGACTCATGGAGTTATACACCGAGTGGACTAAACATTAACATAGACATAGACTGACCAGGTGCATCCAGGTGAAAGCTATGATCCCTTATTGATGTCACTTGTTAAATCCACTTCAATCAGTGTAGATGAAGGGGAGGAGTCAGGTTAAAGAAGGATTTTTAAGCCTTGAGACAATTGAGACATGGATTCGATCTGTAGTGCAATGACATTTCTTTAGAGCAAAATTACTTTTTAAAAACTTGATTTCAAACTATAGCCAAAATTATTTATCTCCTCAACAGGTTATTTTGGTGATGATAACGCTAATCTCATAAATGATATACTTCAAAGTCACAAAGTATTCATTGATTGAAATCTTACAGACTATGCCTTTAATTGTAATCAATAATCTTACCAAGGACTCTTCCAAGTAGCCTAGTTGTATTATAATAATAATAATAACAGTAATAATACAGGATTAGCCTAATAAAACAGAGTGGGGAAAAACACTTTTAGATTACCATAATACAAGTGTGTTACAGTACCTCCGTTGTCCCTGGCTTTGGTTCCTTTCTGGCAGCGATAAAACTGTCCAGACACTGACGGAAATTGTGTCTCCAAACTGTCTGTCTGTAGGCTAGGTGTTTGAGAGATGTCCCTAAACTAACTCCTTCAATCTAATTTTAGGAATACCCAGCCGCCCAACGGAAACCCCACCTGACAACGCGACACTTTTGTTTGGCCTTTTCTCAATTGGTCAAAGTTCGCCCTCTCCGGTTTCAAAAGGAGGCAAGGAGAGGACGGAGGAGAGGACACGAGTAATCGAGGAAATTCAATATAATTCTCTCCATTCGGGGATGGGGGGGTTGCATTGGGGTCGCCTACCCTACGTGTTTATTTCAGCTGATGTGAGGAAATCCCTCTTGCATGTGCTCGCTGCTGCTGTGTGTAAAAAGTGTAGAAAGTAGAAACTCCTCGTGTGGAAACAATAGGCGGGATTTATGACTTTGTCACTTGTCCAGATAACGACGACCCAAACAATGTCGCGCCACCTGCTCAACTTTCTGTCTCTACGTTCTATTTCATTATTCGGCCTGTAGCTCCCTCTGCTGTGGCTTAAGTGTGTTGCACTAATGAAGCGTTTCCTACAGAGCTGTGTGTGTATTAGGGCTTCTACAGTATTTGATCTGCCTATGTATGATATTTAGCAATAGTGTGTTAGTTGACTGCCTCTCTATGTAGCATTCACATGTTATATTACTGTTGAACTCATTTAGAAAACCTTCTAGAACAGTGGCTGACAGCAGAGCGATGGTATGCCTACAGCCTCTCCCTCCATAGTTATTTCCTAGAATGAAGATATCTAAATTAGTGAACCTAGGTTATTTCTCTCTCATTGTTCCCAATATTCCATTGATCTTATTTTCTACTTCCGTTAGATTAGTAGCCGAGCACTGTGTTCATGCATCCTTACATGCTGAACTCTCACCTCCATAGTGTCCTAGAATTAGAGTATCACCATTAAGGGACCTAGGGTATTCCCTCAGTTCCCAAGATAATTAGCCAGTTGAGTCTTAGTATTTCTACTCCGTTACAGAGTGATCCTGAGGTATCAGCCACTGTTCAACAAGGATCTAAGAGGGGATCAGAGCACAGAGGATCAGAATTAGCTAAGTTCCAGAGATCCTAGAGATCAAAGTCCTGCAGAGACCTAGAGGTACGCCCAGTTAACAGAGGATTCCTAGAGGTATCAGCCCAGTTCACAGAGGATCCTAGAGGTATCAGCCCCAGTTCACAGAGGATCCTAGAGGTCCTCAGCCCCAGTTCACAGAGGATCCTAGAGGTCCTCAGCCCCAGTTCACAGAGGATCCTAGAGGTATCAGCCCCAGTTCACAGAGGATCCTAGAGGTCTCAGCCCCAGTTCACAGAGGATCCTAGAGGTATCCTCAGCCCCAGTTCACAGAGGATCCTAGAGGTCTCAGCCCCAGTTCACAGAGGATCCTAGAGGTATCAGCCCCAGTTCACAGAGGATCCTAGAGGTATCAGCCCCAGTTCACAGAGGATCCTAGAGGTATCAGCCCCAGTTCACAGAGGATCCTAGAGGTATCAGCCCCAGTTCACAGAGGATCCTAGAGGTATCCTCAGCCCCAGTTCACAGAGGATCCTAGAGGTATCCTCAGCTCCAGACGATAGTCCACAGTTCGGGAAGGACGTCTGGTGCTTTAGACTACCATGTGATAGAACTAGATTGAGCTAGACTAGACAGTATGCTGTTAACTACAGGGTGTCTGATATGAATAAATAGAGGTCAACTACAATATAGAAGTCAACTACAATATATTGTCCCCGTTCTAATTATTTAAAAGTGCATCCCTCCTTCTTCAATTCCTTCACCTGTCCAATCATGATTACTTCAATGAAGGGAGGAAGCAAGGATGCGCATGATATTAGAACGGGGCCCCTTTCCAGAAAATATATGTTCTCCTGAGGATCTGTCAACTTCAGGAGTCATTGGGCTGTTTTTTGTTTCTCCGTCACCCTGGAGACTAAGGCCTGTATTCACAAAGAGTGCTGATCTAGGATCAATTTTGCCTTTTGAATCAAAATGAATAACCTGATCCTAGATCAGTATTCCTATTCTAAAACACAGTATGGATATGGACCCAAATATGGTTCATCATGATGCCTGCATGTGTGTACATGCATGCGTGTGTGTGTGTGAGTGGGCATACGTGTAAGCATGCAGGAGAGGGAGGGCGGGAGGGAGGGAGGGGGGGAGAGAGGGAGAGAGAGAGAGAGAGAGGAGAGAGAGGAGAGAGAGAGAGAGAGAGAGAGGGGAGAGAGAGAGAGAGAAAGGGGGAGATGGAGGGAGGGAGAGAGAGGGAGAGGGGGCAGGGGGCGAGGAGGAGAGAGAGAGGGGAGGGGAGGGAGGGAGAGGGGGGAGAGAGAGAGAGACAGAGGGAGAGGGAGGGAGAGAGAGGTATAGAGAGGGGAGAGAGAGAGAGGGAGGGAGAGAGAGGGAGAGAGAGAGGGAGAGGGAGGGAGGGAGGGAGGAGGGGAGGGAGGGAGGGAGGAGGGAGGGAGGGAGGGAGGGGAGGGAGGGAGGGAGGGAGGGCAGAGGGAGAGGGGAGGCGTAGAGGGAGAAAAAAGAGAACCGAGAGAAGGGAGGGAGGAGAGAGGGAGGGAGGATAGAGAGAGAGATGGAGAGAGGAAGGGAGAGGAAGAGGGAGAGAGGAAGGGAGAGGAAGAGGGAGAGGGAGAGAAAGAGAGAAGGAGGGAGAGGGAGGGATAGAGAGATAGAGAGGGAGAGGGAGAGAGGAAGGGAGAAGGAGAGAGGAAGAGAGGAAGGGAGATGGAGATGGAGAGAGAGATGGAGAGAGAGATGGAGAGAGAGATAGGGAGAGAGGAAGGGAGAGGGAGAGAGGAAGGAAGAGGGAGAGAGACGTACTGCCAAATTCTCTAAAACGACATTGGAGGCGGCTTATGGTAGAGAAATGCTCTTTCAATTCTTCTGGCAACAGCTCTGGTGGACATTCCTGCAGTCAGTATGCTAATTGCACACTCCCTCAAAACTTGAGACGTCTGTGGCATTGTGTAACAAAACTGCACATTGTAATGATCATGCTGTTTAACCAGCTTCTTGATATGCCACACCTGTCAGGTGGATGGATTATCTTGGCAAAGGAGAAATGCTCACTAACAGGGATGTAAACAAATTTGTGCACAACTTTTGAGAGAAATAAGCTTTTTGTGCTTATGGAAAATGTCTGGGATTTTTATTTCAGCACATAAAACATGGAACCAACACTTTACATGTTGCGTTTATATTTGAGTTCAGTGTAGTCTCTGACCCTGCCGGTCATCAACGAAAATGTGTCTTGAAAAACGATCTGGCCTTAATCTGGAGTCGATGTCCGCGTCAATGCGGAAATCTAATTAGTATAATCATTTCATCGCTGTTTTATCCATCAAAATCTGTCTGCCATTCTATGCATTCTATGGTGGAAGGTAGCAGAGCTACAATGGTGTTTGTGAGACCAAGAGACATCCTGGAAACAGGATCCGTATCCACAGTCTCTCAGAGTAGGAGGGCTGATCTAGAATCAGTTGAGCATTTTAGATCATAATGAATTGGATTATATGGACAGATCCTAGATCTTACTCTGAGATGCTTTGTGGATTCGGGCCCTGGTCTTCTCACAAAAATGTCTGTAAAGTCCGAATGATATGAGCTAGAAACTATCTTGAAAAGCTGAGACTCACGAACACGGACATGTCAGCTGTTTTGCTCTACGACGCCCACCCATGATGCATTTCCATGTCAAAGGTATACAGGTCATTCCACGTCAACAGTTTTCACTTCTTCTTTATCTTTCCTACAGTATAGGAAACATAATTCCTTTTGATGAATGTGTTTTTTTACTGATATCCAATTGGTAGTTACAGTCTTGTCCCATCGCTGCAACTGGAGAGGCAAAGGTCGAGAGCCATGCGTCCTCCAAAACACGAACCCGTCAAGCCGCACTGCTTCTTGACACGGAAGCCAGCCACACCAATGTCTCGGAGGAAACACCATACAACTGGCGACCAAAGTCAGTGTGCATGCGCCCGGCCCGCTAAAGGAGCAGCCTGGGATCGAACCCGGGTCTGTAGTGACACCGCTAGCACTGCAATGCAGTGCTTTAGACCGCTGCAATGCAGTGCCTTAGACCGCTACACCACTCGGGAGGCCCTTGATGAATGTTTTGACTATCTGTTTTGACTATCTGTTTTGAATATCTGTTTTGAATATATTTTTTGAATATCTATTTTGACAATCTGTTTTGACATGTGTGAATGTGTTACTAGCAGTAAGGCTAAATTCAATGTTTCATCAAATCATTTGTTTATATATATTTTTTTTATACCTACAGGGGTCCTACAATTATAAATCAAATAGCTAAATGATCCATGGTATGACCATCTTTTAAAAAATCCATATGTTAGCTTAGCAGACAGTAGATATCGCCCCCTTAGAGGCTCTGACTCTAGGTGGTTATGGCCATGTACACTTAAATCTCCACCCAGTACAGCCAAAAGAGGACAACCCTCGGAGCCTGGTTCCTCTCTACCCAGTACAGCCAGAAGAGTTCTGGCTACCCCACAGAGCCTGGTTCCACTCTACCAGGTACAGCCATTAGAGGACTAGCCACCCCTCGGAGCCTGGTTCCTCTTTACCAGGTGCAGCCATTAGAGAACTGGCCACCCCTAAGAGCCTGGTTCCTCTTTACCAGGTACAGCCAGAAGAGGACTGGCCACCCCTCAGAGCCTGGTTCCTCTTTACCAGGTACAGCCATTAGAGGACTGGCCACCCCTCAGAGCCTGGTTCCTCTTTAGCAGGTACAGCCATTAGAGGACTGGCCACCCCTCAGAGCCTGGTTCCACTCTACCAGGTACAGCCATTAGAGGACTGGCCACCCCTCAGAGCCTGGTTCCTCTTTACCAGGTACAGCCATTAGAGGACTGGCCACCCCTCAGAGCCTGGTTCCACTCTACCAGGTACAGCCATTAGAGGACTGGCCACCCCTCAGAGCCTGGTTCCTCTTTACCAGGTACAGCCATTAGAAGACTGGCCACCCCTCAGAGCCTGGTTCCTCTCTAGGTTTCTTCCTAGGTTTGTGCCTTCTAGGCAGTTTTTCCCAGCCACTGGTTTTCTTCTGCCTCTGCATTACTTGCTCTTTAGGGTTTTAGGCATTTGATTGATTTATTGATTGATATCAAGAAGTCTGACTTCGTCAAATATAATAA